CTCCTTCTGTGTCTTTATAGTCTCAAAGCTTTCCTTGATAAATGATCCAACCAACAGAAAAATAATTTATTAATTCAAACAATCCAAGAGTTCCTGAGATTTGCAACTTCAATGCGTCAAATGCGCGTTAAGTTAAATTTAAAATAACTAAACTTTTCCGTGTTTAAACAATTTAAGTGTTTTATTTATTTGTACTCTCGCATATAGACTTAATTGAGGATTGGAATCTAGAAAGTATGGAATTCATGATTTGATTATTTTTTCATTGATACTAAGGTTCTTTTTTACAATGAGATGATGGAAAAATGGATTCAATAAAAACGGATACCGTCTGTTATTTAAATTGTTGTTAGTATTACGAGCTACACGAATTTTCAATCCCGGCTAATATGCATTAGGCAAAGCTGTTCAATAAAACAGATTAAGCAGGCATTACTGTAACACAGCTTCAAATTCCAAAATTTATGTCTCCCGAGCTTTTCTGAGGTAATCACGAGAGCTGGATACTTATCGAAAACTGTCGTAAATTTACACTCGTACATAAGAACAAAGTATACTCTCCTAATACGCAAAAAAGTGACTCCGTAGAAACTTGGTTTTCGGTGCTTTCATGTAATTTATGTATGACGGCGCAAATGCCAATTTATTGCTGAGTAATGGCACCGTTTGGAGATCTGCAAATGGGCCAGCCCAGTAAGAAGAGAAATGGTTCGAAACGTACGCTCCGAAATGTATTTATAATTTATTCATCTGATACAAATCCGAATTGTTATTGCTGGAATTGTTTCTAAAATTATCGAGCGAATATTTTGCATTTGAATAGCGAATTAATGGCGAGAAATCAGAAATGGGAGCGACGTAAAACTAATAGCCTCGATATTTCCTATTCTGGCTCGAACGTGACGACCCATTCAATAATACTTCAATCGGAACTAACTGAATTTAATTCGAGTTAGTAAAGCTATTTTAGCAACACAAAACTTTTTGTTTTGTAACTTACTCGTTTCTATTACATGTTATGAAAGCATTTAATTTATTAATATCTCTTTAACCTGTGCTCATATTTCTTCTAGAAGAGCTTTTGAGCTTTCACCTGCCACGCATCTCAAAAAATAGAAAAAGAAAAAAAAATTTTATTCAATCCCACATAGTTTAAAAACATTGAATAATACTTAAATCTAGATTTCTAATCTAAAATTTTGTGGCAATCGGAATGCAGACTCAGCTGAATTCTGTACGAAGGGGATCGCACAGCGCTGTCTTTCAGTCTGCAAATGATTGGCTTTAGCAAACTACCGTCACCATGCTAGTAACGGTAATGATACTGACGGCTTAACGTGCACAGCCGTTCAACATCATGGATTAGTGACAATATATATATTTGTCTTACGCTAAAGTAGTATTAAGTATTAATGACATAGAATCTATTATGATATTAATCTATATTTTATTAATTACTATTACTTGTAAGTATCACAAATAGTTAGTTTTGGAACATATTTGGATATAGTTCTTCTCCATCTTACTTCTGTAGTCCCTGCTCTGGGCTTTTGTAACAATTTATTGACCCAATGCATTATTAGATTCGTGCAACGCAAGAAAATAGTTTTGTACTGAACAAATCTTTATTTTCCATTACAAACTCTTTTATTTACACTATTCTCATATATGGTGAAGTACAATACTTACAGATCATTCAAATAATGGGAATGTTTTCCCGAATTTCTCGAAAAACTAAGAAGGGTGCCGGGTTGAGATAATAAAATAAAATCTAGACTATTGTGTCTTCATTTATAACTATACTCCAAATAAAATACTTATAGATTATTAAATATAACATCTATTTACATATTAAAAGGCCATATATACTTAAACATAAAATCACAACTTGATACAAACCTCGACTGAATGATAAATTACTTGCTGAAGTTCAACAAAATCGAAAAAAACTTTAATTTGAAGTTATTTGCGGTTCCAAATTGCGAACACCCAAAACATTTTCTACTTACTTATATTACTGTCACGAAGCAATTTATTTCGCAAAACGAAGTTCAAAATTTTAATAGATGGACAAATTCTGCTACTTCACGAGCCGATTCGCTTCTTTGAATCCTTAAATTACTGCAAATTGCTTTTTGATGATTATTTACCTTATCATAGGTCCTATTAGATTAAAATAAACCTCCTTACTGTTAATATACTTTGATTATAAAAACATAACGTTCTTATTTTTTATTTATGTATGACTACGTTACTGCTGGTACTCGTTAACTTATTTATCTCTGGTTCCCCGTGACCACAACTGCTGCTAAGCATCCGATACGTTGGGCCGTTGTTAAAATAAGTTTAACTAATATATATTATCGCGTCTAAAACCGTTAAAGTGTTTTATTTAAATGTGTACTACTCGCGTAAACTATAGACAGACGTTCCTATTTTAAATCTATTAGCGAACAAAGTGCTAAATGTTTTTTTTATTGATTTTATTGACTTGGAATCATTCATGCGTGAGATATTTTTTTAGTAAGAAAATGTTACCATAAGCATTAGTTAATGATCATAGTGCTGATGCTACAATGGTGAGACAATGAGTCTCTTAATCTAACTTTTCTCTTCCCTTTTAGCTAACAGAAAGAATAGCCACACCCACACAAGGAAACACAAGCCTTAATTAATTAGCGACCGTTTCTTTATTGTGACGAACTGGCTTAGACGTTTGTCGGAATATCTCTCGCTTTCAAAGAGATTACATCCATTCCTAAACAATTAATAAGCTATTTAGAAATAGTCACATATATATGTGCTGATTTTATCTGTATGCTGCATAGTATATATCATGTATATACCGCTAGCTTGTGTCAGCGACTTCGTCCGCATAGAATAGAATTTGGGCATCCAAATTAGTTTTTTTGGAAACCTCTTCATCTTCAGAAATTTTTGCTGTTATACGACGGGCCAGGACGGACATTCACTAGCACAGGTGGCGTCCCGTCCCTTGCGACCCGTCGTTTTTACAAGTTAATCTTTAAAGATACACTAGGTATAGTGTCGCGGACATTTTTTTACATCATTTCAAAGGGAATCATTATTTTATACATATTTTTTGGGTATCTTGAACCGTTTTCGCAGCGTACGCATCGGAACCCCACAGGGATGAAACTTTTCCCCCATTTTTTTTTTTTAATTTCCCGCTGCTTCTTCGCTCCCATTACCCACAGCGATGTTTTATAGCTTTATAAAATATTTTTTCAATTCGAACCACTTAATTCTGAGATTAGCCCGTTCAAACAAACAAACAAACTCTTCAGATGTATATGTTAGTATAGAAGTATAGATAGATGACCGCCTCTGTAGCCAAATGGTTAAACGTATTACCTAGCATTGCGTTAAGCGCAAGAGGTCCTGGGTTCGACTCCGACTCGACTCGAAGTCTGATCAACTACTTGCCCGTTAAAAGAACGGATCAGTTAACGGACACAGAAATGTGTTCGCCCTTATGTCCCACGAGGGGGAAACGGGCTTTCACACATAGAAGTATAGATAGATAGATACAAGTTTATATTTTTTGTATGGATACAAAATATAAGCATCTCACTTAAACGTATTCACGGATAGCGAAAGGTTTCTCTTAAATGCTTGGTGGATTACTAGCTTTTAACTAAAAGTTAAAAAATAGGAAACGTTTGTAACTCCTGTCAGAGACAAATGTGGCTGCAACATGATCGTTTACATGAGTGGATTCCATTAATACACTTTCGAGGCGCGACGTTAAAACTGCAAAAGCGGGTTTTAGCTTGAAGCACTTTTTGTAAAGTAACATAATTGACCAAATTAATACATAATAGATACTGTCTCTTTGAATAAAACATTTTTAATGGTTTACTGCGAAATATATTAGTTAACTTATTTACAATTTATTTTTCTACAGCCCGATGCTTTTGAGCAGCCGTGGTCACGGGGTGACCATAGATAAATAAGTTAACTAGTGTTATAAATACTCCTTTGTATACCACTCAATGTTCTTAAGAAGATATGTAGTTGCCATAGTTACCATTCTTGTTCTATTATAATTAGTCAAAAAGATGTGAATACAGTACTTTAGTAAAAGTTTTATTTAAATTATTATATTTTTTTATTTATTTATAATTCTTATATTTTATTCTTAATACATCGGTCACTTCAAACACAAATTTTATGTTTTTTCTGAATATAATAAAAGCAAAAAGGGTTTTAAACGAATAAAACATTTTCAAATTTAAATCGCTCTGCCTTTCAACGCCATCTCGATTTTGAGGCAAAAATCTTTGTTTCAACAGATTATATTCTAAAAATTTAACGGTTAAATCTACCACAGAGACGCATTGGATGAAATTAACTTAAATTAATTTTCTTTACAACTTTTTTGTGATCGATTTTAACGAACATAATTTATGAAAGTATGTTCCTAAAGTCTCTGAATTAAGAAAGAAGCAATTTAATTCTGAATCCCAAGTAAAACATTAAAATTAATAACCTCTACCTTTTACGATTGCATTTGTTTTGAATATTATATAATCAAAACAAATGCAATCAAATGAGAATACATATGAGAGTCCATGTACTAAACAAGATAAGTATGCCATCTATAGTTTTCGCAAGTAGCACACATTTAAATAAAACACTTTAACGGTTTAAAACACGCGATATAAAGTTAAACTAATTTGAGAATGTCTCGATCTCCCCGTTACCACGGCTGCTGCACAGCATCCGAAACGTCGGGCCGAATTTAAAAATCATTTCCAAATAAGTTTAACTAATATATCGCGTTTTAAACCGTTAAAGTGTTTTATTTAAAAGTATGCCATCTATAAATTTTATCATGCTAAGAACAACGTGAAAAAATGTTTCTTACAATCACTCAAATAACCATAACAAAATAATTGACTGAAATTAAAATCAAAGCGAAGAAAGCAATTAGTTTTAAGCCTCGATGAAGAATTATTTTATCGTTACTTAACGTCATGAACTCTATACGAGACAGTAAGTTAGTTCGGCTATTGTTATTGGTGAGTTTTTGGAATAATTCATTATTGTTTTAGGTACTTGTAACATGTAAAATGTTTCTTTTATAATTTAACCGCATTGCAGTTCATCTGGGCTATATACTTTTCTGATGGATTTCAAGATAAGAAACGTAAGACATCTTTTCAATTGTTTACATGAATAAGAAAATTCTTAGTACAGACACAGAATTGGAGACATTGACGACTCGTCTGTCTAATCACTAATGGTAGCAATGTATGGCTAACGAGCAAATATGGTCGTGCGTTCGATTTCCACCAGGCCCAACTTGTTTCTTTAAATTTATAACTTTTCTAAAACTTTCTAGACTTCGTCTGGAAAATTGGGTATTGCATAGGTGGTAGAAATATCAAAATACTGCCTTGCTTACAAACAACTATCCAAGAATGAAAAAGTCGTGAAGTTCAATCGTTTCAGACTGTGGATTTTCGAATATTTCAAAATAGATCGCCAGCGCATAATGTTTAAATGTTATGTGGCTGGGATATTTTCTAAACATAGGTAGTCCATCATTTGATCATGTTTCACATTTTCTTTTCAGTCAATCTTAAAATAGGATTTGACCTTATACCTAGAGCAGACGGTAATCCTTCAATACGATTTCGAGACTTTGAAGGTAGGTGACCATTGTGGCTAAATCTTAACCCTTCTTGATTCACTTATAAAGGATTATCATGTTCTTATTGAACTTTACACAGATTTCAACTTAAGAAAATTTGGAAGTAAATCAGACAAATCTAGAATATCCGTTAGAGCTGATACTTCAGTCGAGTCCGCAGAAAATAAGGAGGAAGAGCCAAAAGAAGAGAAGGAATCAGATGCTGAAGTCGCTGCAGCAAGTTCAGGTTGAATAAGTGACTAATTAAATAATTATCAATGATGACGTAATTCTATAATAAGTATATTATTATTGCGAGTAGTAGACACTCTCTATACTATATTCGTATACTCGTATAAATTCATCACTAATAAAATATTTACATCTTTATGTTTGATTTAAGATTATGATTCAGTATATTTCATTTATAATTATGACATGATTTTAATTTTATTTGAACCATTTTCTATATTCTAGTTTATTAAATAAAACGCCTACTAAAATACAAAAGACATTTTCGTCTACAGACGAAATTCCTTTGTCTATGTTTTGACCACACCACTAATTAATAGTAACTAATCACTTCAGAATCCGAAGATCGGGCACTTAGAAGTACAAAGGGCATAAACCCTGATGAATTTGAACCAGAACGTAAGTTAACATGTTCCTTTAATTTATTAGCTATTAATGCTACCATTTAATGTTTTTAGAATTCAATTTTACTATATTCAGATCAAAAGAAATTTAAACGTAATAAATATATAAAGTTATTATAATAAATATATATAGTATTACAAAAGTAATATTCAAAATAATAGTATTATTTTGAATATTACTTTTGTATCGGGCGTCTCTAAAGTTGATAAACAGTTAATATTAACCGTAACAAATAATGATTATCTTACATTTAATATTAATTATATTCTATTAACAATAAATATTCAGGAAACCCAAGAATCCATAGTCGTGGAAAACAAACTCAAACAGAAACAGGTATGTTGAATAGTTAAGCTTCTTAAGATGCCTTTAATAAATAATTAATTAAAGTTTTAACAGGAATGTGTACAATATTGTAACATCTAAACAAAAAACGAAACTAATATTACATTTTTATTCCAGAAGAGGAGTAAATTGGTTCACAGCGTGCTCGTGAAATAAATACTTTTAAAAAATTGTGTAGTTTTTTTTGCTTTTCTACAGCGCTTATATGAATATAATATTTATAGAATTTATTTAAAAGAATGAGTATATATTTTGTGGGTAAAATGACATTCATGATTTACACCATTAATTACACACAATCTATAGGATATTACTTATAACCTGTGTTTAGAATGACATTTGTGACTAATGTCAATTGTTATAAGCTTTCATTGTCAATGTCAAACGCCAAATTTAAAGACGAAACTCTATTTACAAGTGAAACTGATTCAATTTGAATAAGTTCAATTTAAATATATGTACATATTAAAAACTAATTAAATGACCGTTGAGAATGTCATACTTTAAAATTTGTAAACCTGTATAAAACATTTTTTACGTACTACATGTTTTTTGTAAAATATTATTTGGGAGTATTTACAAAGTATAGCAATATTGGACTGGTTTTGTATTTGATAAAATGGAAGGTGGAGAGTGGAGGGATAGCATAATAAACCAATTAAGGACTCGAAACAAAAGAGAAACATCTGCGTTTCAAGATATTTTTACATTTCGTAAGTAACATAACCTTTTTAAACAAGAATACTGGTTTACATTTCAAGTCATCAATCACACTTAAAAGATCCCACTATTATAACATAAACAAAGAAATCATATTATCAATATACTCTCTTTGTATGTTAATGAATGCATACATTACACCTATCAAGATAATATTGGATATTTTATTTATTTTGAAGAACGCTACTGTTACTATAAAATGTATTATAAATTGTGTTTATGACAAAGATAATCCTTAAGTTACAACCTGATATTACAAAGCATTCATAGATACTTCATTTAAATTTTTCAGAAAGCAGATTGTTTGACAATGTTAATACACTTAAAAATGAAAATTTGCAACTTACTCTGTTAAATGAAAGAATAAGATATTCTAATACAGAGAGTGTGTCATCTGCAGGAGGTCAGTATTTAAAGAATTACAGTAAGACATTTATGAAACCTAAGATCGATATTGGTCAAACTTCAAACAATGTTTATTAAATTAGTTGTGTAACTCTGCTTATTAGGAATAGGGGTTGCAAATGAAAGAATTCAAACATTAGAACAAAAAGTATTAATCCAGCAAGAAGAATTAACATCTCTCCATAGACGTAGAGGAGAAAGTGCACAACAGATTATAAATCTAAATGCAAAAGTGCATGACTTAGAGAAAAGTCTACAGGCGAAAGATGTTATGTAAGTATTAAGATATTGTAAACAAGTAATTTTATTGGAAATCTTAATGAATTATATTACTTTTATTGTTTTTTGAGACTAGACGATTATTGTACCAAAAGTTACAATACTACTTCCTTTTTTATCCACATTATAACATATTAAAGGTCAATTTTTGCAAAATATAATCTTGTATTTTATTAAAATCTCATAATTTATACTACTTAATAATATTAAGATACTCCACTCCTTATAGCTTATTGTCAGCTGTATTCCTAACAAAATTTTATCTATATTGGTTAAGCCTATGCTTAGTCTTCTTTTAACTGTTTTTATTTATATAGAATTTCAGAAAACACAGCACTTTTAGCATCGCTCAGAGCAGAAATTCAAATGTATGAAAATAATATGACAGAACTACAAGGTCTCAACCAAGTCTTGAGGGATGAGCATCAAGCATTACAGATTGCTTTTGCAGCTATTGAAGACAAGTTACGGAAAGCACAGGTTGTTAAAATTGAACATTTAAATGCTACACATGAAAATTGTACATTAACAACCTAATATATCAAAATATAACTTCATTGAGCAATAAAGTTGTCATTACAGAAACTCCAAGTAAGCTTGTTACTATTAATTTACTTCTTTTTTCTTTTAAACTTTTTTTTGTAAAAGTTAAATTATAGAACGGACAACTTATAAAATGGACGTATGAGTAAATGTTATAATTTCTATTATGTGACACTATTTTTAAAACATATTATTCAAAATTTGCTGTATATGTGGATATATATAATTAAGTTTTTTAGATAAATGTTTATCTTAAACAAAATAGCAGTTATTTACAATTCAATATTTTTTATAGTACATGATTTTTGATTTTTGATTCTTATAAGATTGAATAAGAAAAACTATAAAAATTCGCGTTTAGCAGATTAGATATTAAAAATTTGAAATAGACAGACAGGATGTTTACAATAAAGTGAATATTTTTGGCATTGTTATATGTTTACTGTATCACTGTCCTCAGTTCCTCACGAACACAAAGTGAGTGTAACAACACTTTTATGTGATATTAAAAGCTGTTATACATAAAGCTACGGTATTAAAAGACATTACCTCCGTATGATGCACACAAACTAAATTCAACACAGATTTACTACAGACTCGATCTTGAGAACTATCCTACTGGAGTTTCAAATTTTTATTGCATCGTTGAAATTGTGGCACCGTGCCAAACCAATTTGAGGGTTTTTCCATCTACATCTAGGATGCTCTTCAACTAATTATTTATTATTAGACGTTGATGTTTTATATTAATAATTTCATAATTACTGTCTATAGTTTACGCGAGTAGTACACATTTAAACAAAACACTTCAACGGTTTAAAACGCGATATAAAGTTAAACTTATTTGAGAATGTCTCAATCTCCCCGTGACCACGGCTGCTGCTAAGCATCCGAAACGTCGTCGGGAAATTAAAAATCATTTTCATATAAGTTTAACTAATATATCGCGTTTTAAACCGTTAAAGTGTTTTATAATAATAATTTCTTCTAAATTTAGTGTAAATTCTCGTTTCCCATAAGTTCGGTCGGCAGACACATATCTGTGTCTATTTGAATAAATTATTTATATTGCTGATCTCGCTTTTGTGGTCTTATTGAAATCTAATAATTTCCGGGCATTTTAGTTTATTTATTATAATAATTATTTTCTATAGTAGACACCAATAGAAGGCTGGCTAAGTCTACACTAGCTGCTCACAATTTCAGCCATTTTCGTATTCTTTGCGGCTTGGTCTGATATTATTGGCTTATTCTTATTTTATAGAGCCCGATATGAAAATGCGAGATCGTAATATGTTTTTGACATTTTTTATGATTTAGCATTGAAACGTACAGCAATATTATGTAACTAAATTTTCTTCTCACTGCAATCGACCTCGGTTTTCTAATACAAGTTTTTAGGACAACTTAAATATTTTATATTTCTACATGTTGTTTGTCCAAACATAAGAAATAAAAACTCATGAGGTCAGCTAGTAGTAAAATTTACAAATACCGTCGGGCTTCTAATAGTCTATTTAATGGATTACGCCTATTTACGATCGTAGTTCATGAAAAGATTTTATTGATTCATCAACTAATATAGGCTTAGCCGTCGTAGTCGAAACACCCTGTAGATTTTATGACTTTCGGGCGATTATTAAATATATAGAATGTTTACGGCTATTCTCTATATCACAGTCGCTGTTCAGTCGAAAATTGTTTCGCGAGAGCGAAGTGTTTATTTCTTTACGTTTTCGTTAGTGAAATTTGAATGATATACCGCTTATTAATATTTATGGTGATAGTTAAACATTTCGTCTCTTTAAAATGTTTAGGAAGGTAATTTAATTTAATTACAACAGAATAAACAACTCATGTGTCTCATATTATAAGCATTACAGTAAATTATATTACGGAAAATAAAATTTCAGGACGAAAACCGGTCGCTGGTTGAACGATTAATAAAGTACAAAGCGAAAGATGCGGATAAAATGAATGAAGAAAATGAACACTTCTTAAAGTAAGTATTACTTTTCTAGCTCAATGCTTCCTAGTGCTATTGTAGTGTTTAAAATTTGCATGAATTTTTGAATCCAGACTCTAGTCTTTAGTTGATGTATCACTTCTTTTTTTGTTGTTAGAGTATATTTATTACGATGTAGTTTGAAGCACGAGCAGGTAGATGACTGTCGATGGTTGTCCTACCTAAAAATTGCACGTAGTATATTTGTGACTTAGTAGCTTAAATTGTAAAACTAACTTACTCGGTTTCACTGTGTAAATGAGATTGCACTAAACCAGTATTTTGTGTACAATTACGTGTTTCAACTTTGTGCTACAGCATATGTGTAGTGAGGGTATATGCGTGTGTCGCGAGGTCCATAGAGCTTGGCATAGATTATAAAGTTTTATGTTTTTTTTGCTTCTTTTTAATTTTTTCAACAGGTCAAGCAACCCTACTGCGTTTTTGATCAACACATTTGGTAGAGTTAGTTTCGGGTGAGTGTGACATAATGCGAATGATAAGGTGGTATGAAGACAATGTGTCGTTTAAGAACATTTTATTTCTTCATTGCGATTACTCATATATGTCTTAACTGCACTCTGAAACTGACTCAAAATTTTATTTTCCTCAACTGTTTGTGTATGAAGGAGAATTAATGTATCTATGCATTTTGTTTTCACGTTTTGGTTTTACATTGGTCTGATCAATGCTGATTCTAAAGTGTTCGCTGTTACTAAATTATTTTCTAAATTTGTTACATTGTGATGTTTTCTTGGTTTATTATGAAAATTATGTTATTACTATATATATAGGGTGTAACTCTTATAAGAAAGATTGTGACATGGAGCTTGAATTTTATTATATAGAGTATACTAAACCTTTTTGGACATGTGAATGCACTTTTATTTTATTATTTATTCATTGCTCAACATTTCTAGGTCACAATAGCATTTAACAGCATTCCTAAACAATACTTGCCTTACATTGGGTCTAAATTATATTATTATTAATATATAATTGTAATTGTGTGATGGACCTTAAATTAAACTAACATTATATTTAAGTAATGCCAATATTGTCCAACATTTCGTATCTTTGACACGGGATTACCTACTAAGAATTGTATTTCCATACTTATTTGTTGATATTTTTTATAATAACTAAATATAACTCGTGTCGACGGTACGGAGGTATTTTTTTAGCTTTAATAAATTGTTTTCATCGAATGACAATTAATTGAATTTGAAATATATTGTACATAGTACTGCGAAGCCTGTTGCATGTTAGTTTGCGTTTTGATTGCATGTGTTTGAAAATTACTATAGAAAATAAAACTCCAGGATTGTACAGACGCACGTGGGTACGGACATCACTGCAAGTGTGAATATTGGCGAAGCTTCTAAAAATGCTATATCGGTTTGGCGGGCGAATTATTATGACTTAATAATTAATAAACTCCTTATCTTTGCAGAAAAAAGAGCGATAAAGTAAAAAAAGAATTAGAGGAGGCGGCGAGAGAGGGCGGTAGTAGAAGTAGTGGCGGCTCAGGGGGTAGCGCTGATGATAAGATAATGGATTCGATGCCCTACTACGCGACGAGTCTTCCCAGCAAAGTGGCTTTGAGATTCGTAAGTCAGGTTTCTTCTTTACCGAAAAAAAATATTCGTTCCTATTAAGAGATGAATTTTCACCTTCACTGGTCAATTAGAAATCACCTTTCACTAGAGGCATAGATAAACAAAATGGATAAAATATTGAATGTTAAATGTTATTCTAGTATGGTATTTTGTAATCGTCTAAAATAGATTCCATTATAACCGCACCCTATGGAAACATGTATTATACAAAAAATAAATATATGAAGTGTAAAGGTCCACGATGCATGTCATATAAAGTTTATTTTCAGGATGCTCATGACGGTGAAGTGAATGCAGTAAAATGGAGTCCGACTGATAGAATAGTGGCCACAGGGGGCGCTGATAGAAAAGTTAAATTATGGGACGTGTCTAAATGTAAGAATTTTGTTTTCTATACTTTCGTAATTTTATAAAATATACATAAAACACTTTAATGGTTTAAAACGCGATATATATTAGTTAAACTTATTTGAAAATTTACGTACGTTACGTCTTAATTGTTTAAAGTGTTTTATTTAAATGTGTACTATTCGCGTAAACGCCTGACAATACTTCAACTATAACAATATAATTTCCGTCGTCTTAAGAAGTTTTCTTCCTTATTTTCTCTTATTTCGTGCTAGACCGATATTAAGTCTATTAAGAAATTTCGTTTGATGTGTCGCTATAACCATTTTGTGTGATAATTGTACTATTATTGAACTCTGTACTACATACATATGATGTCAATAATAAAATTAAGTTAAAAACATGGATTTTAAAGTCCTTCGTGTACAGTAGGCACGGCGGAAGGCAGAGGCGCTCTAGTCGGTTCAAATGCTGGAGTTATGTCCGTCGATTTTGATTCTACGGGAGCCTTCATCGTTGGAGCATCCAATGACTTCGCCAGTAGGGTGTGGACTGTTGGAGACCAGCGGCTAAGGGTAAGTCTAATTAATTATAGCTAATCACTACATAGTTATATGCTATATGTAAGCTTGTATGTCCCATAGCTTGACATTAATGGTAGTTCTGACATTTATATCTGACTTATCGTGATTCAATATTTATAGTATTTTTAATTTGATTTTAATATAGTTAAAAACTACACCACGCCTTAAACCTACACTAGTGGCTCATATAATTATTTATCTTCCAGTAGAAAGATTTGTGGGTTGTATATTATTATATGGTCATAAGTACCAATGAAGAGTTTCATTTTAGCTACTACATATTGAATATATTTAATTAATCGTTATTATTAAGTCTGTATTTTATCACACGATAATTATAATTAATAATTTTAAAGCACAAAGCTTATTTTTCGTTCACATACTCGTTTTCGGGAAGTGCTAAATATAATGTAAAAATATATAATCGATTTTCTTTAAGTGTAATTTTTCTATTATGTTGACTTTAAGATCTTCAGATTGTTTCATTTGGTTTTTTAAGGTAATTTTCCGAAACTCCGCTACCTCACCGCTATATATTTACAGGAAATAAACCCGCGGCACAAATATTATACTCCACCTTTTAAAACCGCTCTCTATTAAATACGTGACCTTTTATTAACTTAAAAACGTGTTCCGTTCAGTTCGTAAATAGAATTCACCATTGTGTCGTTGGAAATCGCAAAACAAGAAATCCGTAGACACGAAGTTCTCGGCGTATATTGGTTTTATTATTTTCTAAATGGTAAAGGTTATTAATAATTAATAAAAATGGCATAGATTCCACGCGAGTTTTTATGAGTCGCTTCCAGTTCGATGCACTGCGACAAGGTATATGCCGTTATAAGTAATTGCTTTCTAAGAATTGTATTAGCCTGCAATTAAAAGTATCGCTAAGACTAGTTTAATAGTATGTTAAGTTCAAAAAACAATTGGTTGCGTGTTTTCTAAGAACTTTACATACGTTTTACTATAAATAATTTGTTACAAATTCATAACATACTAGGTGTGCCCGCGACGCCGTCCGCGTGGATGAGTTACAGTACAGTGACTTAGGGTAGAATTTTTAACTATTTAGATTTTATTATAATGGCCATTCAAGGCAACCAATCTGTGTGGTGAGTGCTACTTTGCCGGAGCACTCTCACTTACACCTTACATCACTTCTATACTCACTCCCATTTCCAAAAAGCAAAAAAAAAAAGTTTCATTGTTCTAGCCTCAGAAAACGACGAGTTTCCATACAGACTATCATCCCCCTTTTCAACCCCTAACAACCCTTTTTTGGCATTAAAAACTAGGCTACTTTTTACTAAGTATCTGGAATATCTATGTACCAAATTTTATTTATATCGGTTCTGTAGTTTTTGGCGTTAAAAGCCGGACAGACTTATAGACAAGAGTTACTTTTATTTATTTATTTAAAAGAGGCTTACCAACTAAATACATAATAAAAACTTAATCTAAAACAAAAACTATATATAATTTATATATATAATTTATTAAAGGCAAGCACAACGTTGCTATGAAATTAGATATAAAATACATAAAATAAAATTCAAATGCGTAATGCACAACAGTAACGATTTTTAAAAATTTATGTTTTAAATTTATGAGATTTGGAGAAAACATCTACTGTATTATCTATTTTAAAAACAGTATTATATAAATGCGATACTTTTGCGTTTATAATATTAAATATAGATTAAACACAAAGGTACAAATAGATTTTTATTCAAATAATAAAGATAATAATTTAGTAAATGTGATTAGTAAGTTTCCTTGGACTTATTTTATAATTCAATTTGTATTTTAGTCATATGTTGTAATTTTACACAAACAAATATCAGTTCAAAAACTACACGGACTTGAGACTTTTTGTATGGTAAAGCGATGTTATGAAATTATTGCGAATTGAAGGGGTCAATCTAAGTGCTTATTAGGTGTTTGTAAGCGTAGTCATGTCGTGATCTTGAAACCATTACTTCCGATGTTCTACAAGAATATTGTAAGCCTGACTTTTATATAATACTAGCTGTGCCAGCGAATTCGTCCGCGTAGAACAGTGGTTTTGGGCATCATATTATTTATTTTACAAAGGAGCTTGTCCTTTATAAACTAAAGTTGTAATCCACGCCAACGTCCGCCTCCTATCGTTTTTACGAGTTAATCTTAAAAGATAGACATTTTTTAAATTATTTAAACAACAGTCATTGCGTACGCAACGTGAGCCTCAAAGAGGAATAATTTGCCTCGTTTTTTCACCACATTTCCTTCTGTTTTTTCGCTACTATTAGCCAAAGCCTGATTTTTATAGCCTAAAGCCATCCACGATAAAATTTCCAACCAACACAAATACAAATTTTCAATTAAACTTGTAGTTCCTAAGATTAGTGCTTTCAAAAAGTATAGATTCGTATAGATAGTAAGTCCTCTTGAGACTGAGATAATAAAAACAACTAATTTCTTAATACTGTCTATAGTTTACGCGAGTAGTACACATTTAAATAAAACACTTTAACGGTTTAAAACGCGATATATTAGTTAAACTCCCCGTGACCACGGCTGCTGCAAAGCATCCGAAACGTCGGGCCGAAGTTAAAAATCATTTTCAAATAAGTTTAACTAATATATCGCGTTTTAAACCGTTAAAGAGGTTTTTTTTAAACTAATTTCTAGTCTATAGTCTAATACGTAGAAGCTTACAATAATTGAAGGTTGGTTTATGTTTTCTTTGAATTGTATTCGGTGACGTAGGTAATTCTTACTCCGTTAAATCAATCTGTCTACTTCCAGTCTTAACTAATAACCTATTGTTCTGATGATCATTATAACATTATGGATCACCTGTCTGCTTTAAGTCTCTAGTACCTACACGACAGGCAGGAAGTTACCTACCGTTGTTTGAGTATCATTCATCGCAATCTAGGCACAGACATTTGTTCACTAATGAAATTCAAATCCAGTGTCCGATTGGAAACAATATTCAAATTGGATTCGCTAACAAATCGTTTGTATCACAATATGTATTAGGGTGATTGATCGGGGTGTCCCGGCTGTGCCTTACCTGTTTAATCCCGTTTTGCAAATAAGGAACTGTCAGTCAAGCGCTAGTAAATGATAACGCGGTTCAATAACCGTGACAAATGAACTCGGTCCCACCCACTGTGTGGACACCGGCTCACGTGATCGTAAAATACTACGATAAGGGATATTTTGAAGCCAGATCCGCCCATTTGTTAGCGGAATTAACGAGGGCTTTCACTGGAAGCGACAGCAATTATAATCGTTATACTGTATTAAAAAAATGTATATATTATTTTAAAAACCTGAATATTTTTTTCACGTTTGCACATGATGGCGCTATATAAATTTAAAAAAAATAAGAAAATTAACAGGGTAGCATTTGAACCGGTGTCCACAGCGTTCCGTGGTGTTGCTCTAACCAATTGAGCTGCCCTTTCTTACACGTCATGGTGGAATCTTTATATTATTCTTCCTCATTTTTTTCACCTTTGTCCACTGTTTCTTCTCTCTTATTGGTCGCAGTGTGATATTTCATAGACTAAAGCCTCACTTCATAAATGCTCTAACCAACAAAAATCAATTCGAAACAGTAGTTCCTGAGATTAGCGCGTTCAAACAAACAAACTCCTTAGCTTTGTAATATAAGTATAGATGAATCAAAACAAAAGAAAAAAATATAAGAAACTACTAGTATATTGCTGTCCAATCTATAAATTTGTAGTAGGATGGAATCATGCGCATAATATGTCGATTCCAGCGTAGACGGAATTATAGTTTCCGTGTTTGATTTCGCATTGGGGTCTGCGTGACCACGATCGCTCAGGATGATTCTGATGCAAACACAAATTACACAACGAATTCCCGTAACCGAGAGCGAGTAATCGCCATAATAATAAGCCGAAATCGATCGTACGTCGTGAGTGCGCCGGCGCATTCCGTAGTGATTTACAATCTGCTAACAGATTTGTTGATTCGCCCGCGGCACTGACACTATCAATTTTTGTCATTACCTCGCTACCGGCCGACATTACTCGATACTCTATGTTTTCCTTTCGTACATTGTATGCAACGTTAATTTCAGCGAAATTTCTCTCATCACGTCGCGATACCGGGCTATCAAACGGTGGAATCGGACGCCGCTAATTCCACTGAACTGCTGTGTATTTAACTAATCAAGGGAGTTAATTGAATGTGTGGATTACGCTTATATTGTTACTTATTAGTGCTAATTTAATATTCAAGCTTCTGGAACGAGCTTATAGAATATATATGTCATTTATACATATATATTTTTCTAGCTGACCTAGCAATGGTTTTTTGTCATATAAAGTATTTCGACCGAAACTTGAATACCAGAAAAACCCTCGCAGTCCACGCAACGGAAACCCTAAAAGATAATTGATTTTCCCGTTTTTTACATTTTTTTATCTTTTTTTTGCTTCTATTAGTCGGAGCCTGCCTGATTGTATAACCTTCCTCTATAATTGCTCCATTATTTGATATTTTCTACCATTATTTTCTAGTTATCACTTTCGTGCCTCGGAAAACACGTGCAGCAGTATTGTGTGAACATTTAGTAGCGGATGTTAAAGTCTATACAAGCTTAAAGCATGGGTCTTAGCTCTTAAATCCTCTCTTAGACAGAAGACTAGTGCCCAGTAGGATATATGTAGTTTAAATTTATAGTTATACATCAGTTAACAAAATATATGTTATTATATTATAGCGTAGCCTGGAAAGAACATTCATTTATATTATTTAGGTTAGGTGATTTTAGTAAAAATTTGATACACCTCTTACTTTAAACACACTTTGGGCCAGTATTAAAAACGATGTCGCACTCGCGATAAGATCTTATCTCGAAGAATAAGTTCCCTCATTGAACTCGTTAGCAACTAAGAACAGCCACGAAGGGTATTGTCCACATCCATTATGAGTGACCTCATTTTGCTTTCCAGAGAAAGTGTGTGCTAGTTTACATTGAATAGTTTAGTCTTGCCTTTACACAACTATCTCTTTGAAACCAAAAGTACTACCAAATATTTCCTACCTGTTGGCAACATCGGAAATGACGAGTACACGACAGTCAATGTTTTAAATTCGCTTGTGCAAAGTCATGCCGTCAAACAATGAAATTTCTTTGATCAACATGATTCGTCCATGTTAGGACCATAGAGCATCGATTCATTTTTATGATCTTATTATGTTTTCGTTTTCTACTCACTCTCTCTTTCAAGATCTGACGATTTCGATATTCTTCCCACATTAACGATTATCTAATCTTTAATATTTTTTACAGTTCGTTACAGATATTGATTTTTTTTTTAATTCTAAAAATTTGCGATATAGCATTGAGTTATACAATTATTGATTCGATTTAAGATATACAAAAAAATGGTTTTATGGATTTATAAAAAATATTACACGTACATACAGGACGCTGTATCGTATTCGGCCAGTATAACTACCATGTTACGTTCTCAACCATTTTATATGTACCTCTCCCCCACAAAACAGCACAATATACTGTTGGACTAAAATACTACATGTTCCGGTCTTAAATAATTTATAAATTTTCGTATATATATAATTCTTCATGAACATTAAAAACCATGAGAATATATAATTATGAAAATAACTGTGACTTAAATCTTTCGGTTGGGCAAGACATCTTAGTTTATCTACTTCCCTATAGTAAAGTATTCCACGTCTGAATATAGTTTTAGTATGTCTTAAACTTAGTTATTATTTATTTATGAACATTTTTATTAATAGCTAGAACCTTACGTGCGGCTGGTTTCATCAGAATAACGTGTATAATCTGGTTCCTCATTTTATTAGTATCGGACTGGATGTAATATTTCATCTTATCCGATATGCCGGTCGTTAGATGTAATCTAATTATTTATAGTATGGAATCGGAAGGATTTATCAAAATCTTCTATGTAGATAGATCATTAGATTTAATATCTTCACCGTAGTCTTCTGATCTTTTGGATCTTACTTATTAAATGAGTTTGACAATCCTCACAAATCTGCTGTATCCATTATAGAGTTTTTTTTCGTTATTAATGTCAAACTATTAACAATTATCGTTTATAGGTTAGTTTCAGTTGGGATTGCGATACAATAAACAACTACTACTGCAAAGCATCCGAAACGTCGGGCCGTATTTAAAAATAACTTTCAAACAAAATGAGCTGAAAAATATATCGCTTTGTAAACCGTTAAAGTCTTTTATTTAAATGCGTACTACTCGCGTAAACTACAGACAGTAACTACTGTTAAATATAAACATTTTACGAGTATTACTATCATATTAGTTATTATTTATTATGAGTCATCTGAAACTCGTTCGTAACATTACGTTAAATATCTACGCTGTAAAAGGTTAATTTTTTATATTTAGAGTTTGTATACATTACTTGTTTAGTGTTGTTTACTTAAGAAATGATTACTGTTTCTACTATTATAGCTTATTTTGTTACGATTATTAGGAATTTAAATTATTAAATAGTTGTTTACATGTTATTAATTTTATATTGAAGTTATTTTTTGTAAACATGATTTGAAAACTTTATTATTTTTTACATGTTATTGCTTATGGAGGCACAATATATTTTTTAAAAATCGAAAATAAATTGAAAAAAATTTCGACTCGGGCAGGACTTGAGCCGGCATCGTCAGAGTTTGATTTAACATAAAAGCTTAGATTTAACATGATTTGACATAAAAGCGAGCTTACATGTTTGTAGCGACAGAGAAAAACTTTGTTTATGTAGGCTCACATCTAGCAGATAAAGCTCCATAATTAACTAGAATTTTATCCTTTGTTTTGGCTGTAATACATATAACGAGTTCTAAAGATTTCAACGTTTTATTCGAGTGAGTCTGTATGTGTGTTATCTATACGCTATTTGAGTGTATCACGGACTTTAATGGACGTCTGAAGACACGTGTCTATGGTCGCGTGCCGTCGTCTGCCGCGATCTAATCGTAGGCACGGATGCCGACGCGAGGTGTGATTCACGCGTGATTGTTCCACGCGAACCTTAGATTTCATCTGTTTGATGCGCCTATCGCCAACTTGTCAAATTGCCGCCCGTGCGCTCGTTATCAAATTCTTTTGAAGATATTTTTCCGTCTTAGTAAGATTTTAATGTTAAGTTCTTACTTATTGTTTTCTTCGTCACCAGATTATTAAAATTATAAGAGAAATACACATTATTACTATTCTTGTGATATCTCCTAGTATTGATATAACTTGAATGACTGTTTGTTTTGAAACTAGGGCTACGCCGTAACGTTTCTTGTATAGTTTGATTCGGATACTAATTCTTCATTTGAGGTTCGTATGTTCAGTGGTGTATTATGTAATAAACATTCCTTTTTTAGGTAAGGGCAGGGAAAGAAATTAAAATATTAATAAATTTTTTAAAGTTTATTTCACTGTAGGTATTTTGACAATTTGGACGGATGAAATCGGTACTTAACTGAGACTTTTAATAAATTCTTAATAAGGCACTATCTCCATAAACAATACTCTCGGTCTACTACATTATAGAAAAATAGCACATTTTTATTATCATAATAAGCAACTATTTGTATACATAAAGGCAAATTTAAACTATAGGTATAATTCGTAGTTGATCATAAATTAAGTAAAAAATAACTATACTAAATGGAATAAATTACTGAATCGGAACGATGATATCGTCTCTCGACTTGGTCGCTACATCGATTATCTACTTAATAGGTACAGAAATGTTACTCTTCACTTAAAACTATTGTTAGATCCTACGCTATGTCGAAAAATATGGTACAATACGTATTTCGATCATCCGGTTGGACATTCGTACATAAAGTGAACGAACGAGCGACGTCATCTCGACAACGAATACGACCATTGTCCCGCTTTCGACTTCAGAGATGGGGACAAGCAAGCGCTCACATGCGCAACGGACACACGACAACACTACTCAATGACTTGCATACATCTCCTATCACAAACGCTTCAGTGATCGTCCCCTTCTCTGTGTCACGCAAATCTCTAATGTCTCGCAGATCTGCCCTAACTTTAATAACCGCTGTCGTAGTCCTTCGCTCGTGTTAGATGGCCCTCCAGAGCCAAGACTCGACGGGGGTATTTAAACTACGTAATATACTACTATTGCAAACGTTAATCACGTCGACATTCTTAAAAGTACTCAGAAGTGCCGCTGGTGCGCTCGGGAGAAACTAGCATCGTAGACTTTGCAGAGAGATGAAGGAGCGTTGGGTCCTGGCAGAAGTTCAGCGGCCTTCGCGGCGGCACGTCTGCGCTGCCAACTGCAGGTCCACGCAGCAAGTACGACTAATTGAGCTGCGATGAACGCTGCGGCAGCTAACATTGCTCCAGAGGCATTGACGCAAGTCACATCGGTCTCTCTAACAAATACTGAGTCTTCGGTAACATTCTTCGCACGTTGCTTATCGAAACCGAATTTGTCGGTAATTTGGATGGTTTGTACTAGGAGCATGTCGTCAGTAGGAGCTGCTGGGGTGGAGCGCCTCTTCCTACGTCCGTACGACATGACTGAACGCAATTCGTTGGGGCCGCCATCGCACACAACGGGTTCACAAGCTGGCATACACGGTGTCACCAGAGCGCGGAATTGTACAACTTCGGATGAGGGGAACTTGAAAGCGTCGAAGTTTGAAAGAAGTATCTGTAAGAGAAAGTAATTGAAATGAGAGGTGTTATCAATTAATTACAAAAAAAGTGATCTAATAAAAGGATGTATAATAGAGTTAGGAATAATACCTTTCCAGTTGATGTAGACTTGAAGAGAGGCCCCATAATGAAATGATCCGTAGGGCAACCGTCGCTGTCGATAAGGGTGATTTCACTCGAATCCACACCATCCATAGCAACGAGTTCGCGTACAAATATTTCGAAGGGTGAGTTTGGATCCATAATCTCGAATTTAAGAGCCTAAAATGAATAAAAATAAACAAGTTAGATATAAAGTCAACGCATAGAAATATTCAATTTTATAAAGGAAACAAATATTTACCAAGGGATCTCCAACTTCAGCTGAAGCAATGGTGTCGTCTCCACTCCTATCGGTAATCTTCATTGCCACATTCGGCGAGTCGACAATGACCTCCTCGGACAGACCAGTCTGAATATCACCGTGAATTCCGAGATCCACCTCATTCGCAACGGTTTTATTTGTCAAATCATACTGACAAGTCACGGCTAATCCGAGATCAGAAGAGGTGACAATCGTGTCGTGATGCTGGATTACCACGTCATTGAGATATCTGTGACAATGGGAATTAAGCATTTTATTTGAATAATTTTCTACCTAATCTAAGACTTAGTAGCGTGTAATTACCTGCCAAGTCCGTTTTGCTTGACGTTGCACTCAATGTTGTTGTAACCCATGTGCAGTTCGAATTCTAAACTTTGTTTGACGTCTACCACGCAAGAGTTAGGGCTTCCTTTAGCATAAATCTTTCCGTCGAATAATTTCGAAGTTTGGATTTTGGCGACCATGTCACCGGCGCGGCAATCAATCGATACGTTGTAGCACGAGGACAGTTCGTATGTGGCTGCTTCGGGAACTTCCAAGTAGGGGTCCTAAAACGTTAATAAAATTTAATAATAATAAAAATATACTGCATTTCATTACCATCTTGCAAAATAAAATGTACGAACCTGGATATCAGCGAGAGTGGCCTTAGAGTGATGAGACAATCGGCAAACGTGATCACCAGTATCACCGTGGTCATAAGAATGACAACGGAAGGGTGAGTTCAGGCAAAGTTCCCGACATTCTTCCACTGTCTGGACATCTTGATACACAGAGTCCACTGTTTTAAGAATTCGTCCGCTCATCTTTTTGAACTCGCACAGCTTCGTGGGCTCTTCTACGCAATTGTTTTCCAGGTAGTCGGTATCTGTTGACGGATAATATCAAGTAATATTTGTATCTATATATGTTAGAGCTAAAACTATGTGTAAATGTCTTGTTATGTACGCACCTTCATTCGGCTGGAAAGAATTGGTGCCGCCCAACGTAATACGATCCATGTTTGATAGAACGCACTCGCCTGTTTTGTTATTGTAGTTCGCCGATCTGTAAAGAGTTACTCGCTTTAAAAGGTGTTCAATTCTATTTGTATCTCCGTGTGAACTTTCCCAGAGTTAACCTCATCCAGTGACACCTTTTATTTGCTCGCGCTTTAACGACTGTATCTACTTGTGGTTTATGAACATGTGACAACATCGTAACCTGATAATTAATATCAATTATAAGTTGTAGTAAAAACAACATTGTTGGATGAAGCACTAGCTGTAAACATCTCTTTTGCATTAGTATAATGAGATAGGAACTCGTAGATGTTCTTATCTCTATGCTGTTGTGAGCATTGTTATAGTTTCTAACAAAAGTCATTAAATCATATTACTGGCAGACCATAATGTTAGGGTTGCGAAGCTGCATATGGTGGGACGGGTTTTATTGCGAGTCGCTTCACGGTGTTACTTATGTAACTGTGACCCCCGTGGCCTTTATAACTTTATAGTGACCACCCGCAAAAGGACAATATTATCTCCGATCATCTGTATCAATGTTTTCCCTTGATTTACAATCGATCCTAATCCCACGATCCTTGCTTTAACCCGCGCCGATACATCCTTTTAAACTTTAAAGCAATGTCTCAACCTTACGCCTTGTAAATTCTCCTGTTATCAATGTTTTCAATCATTGCCTGCAATAACGATTTTAAATATAATTTATCACGATTAAATGAACTTGTAAAATGCTATTAATAGTGATAAAAGTAGACAACCGGTTCAAAGTTGATCCTGGATTGAGGGCGTGATAGAACAAGGATGACATTTATGGATTCCGCGCATAAATTCCGCTCGGTGCGAGATGTAGGTCTTTCAATATAGCAAGGAGGAGTATTCGGTTTATCGCTTATTGTATTGTGAAAGTAGGAAGTGATAGGGCAATTCTCTCCCACACCGGGGCGCGAAGAGTCCACCGCGCCCGCGAAAACGAATATTTGTCGTGACTGTCGAATCGCGATGAGCACCGCCTGCCGTAGTTTGCCGCTTGACTAAGTAGATTTAGAAATGTAATTTATTTATTTCTTCCTAAGAAAGGAACTCCTATCCTAATAAAGAAACGACTATAAGATCTGTATTCACAAACCAGCCGTAGCGTTTGTAAGTTACGTCGAATACTCGATGTTTAGAAAATTATTCCTTATTAAAAAACTAAAAACAAATGAATGGTTATCTCAAATTATAATTAATGACAGTAATTGCAATTACGCTCCAATTTTATAGATAACTTCCGTTGAATCCGATCAGATATGCTCTAAGCAATAAAATATTTCATGTAAGTAAATGTCTAAGGCTCCATGTCATTCTCCTTATAAGTCTCGGATGGGCAGATTTTATTGGCATCAAGCATGCAGTTAAGTGGCTTAATAAGCTTTCAGTTGATCATGAATGCTTTAAAACTTATAAAATCAAACATGGAAGCGTGATCGTAAAAGAGATTTATCTACTGTACCTGATCCTAATCATATGTCTTGCTCGTGCACATCTAATGAATGAATTCACTCATTTCCTGTTTGCTTTTACATATAGTTTGTATCGACGAATCGCATCAATATTCTTAGTGAACATTAAATGCGTCTATAATTAAAGTGGTGCCACGCAATAACACGAATGATTGGAAATCTTGAAATCGAATGAAATATCTCGATGAAACCATATCGGGATAGAAGTCAACGTTCATTAAAAAATGTCCTTTAATTAGCTCCAGCGAAAACGCTATACGTTTCTGCAGCATATAGTCACCGTCTTTTTTGTGACGATAAAAAATGTTTCTATGTAGTATGTAGTTTTAATTAAAAGGATTTAAGACCGCTTTTTTATTGCTTGAATCCAACGTTTTTACTCGTTATAGAACTAGTAATGATTGGCGCCATAAAATTTTAAAGGAATGTTCTTTATAGCATAACCACAATAATGGAACAGAAACTGTTGCTGGCCCATTGAATTGAATGCGCTTCAGGAACAACACAATATAAATCTTACTTATTCGCGGAATCTAAGTATTTTCACTTCCTTGTCGAAGGGAATACAAATAAGTAACAGTATTTCAATGAAGATGTTATGACCTTTCTATGCGATGCAATCCAAGAATGGAGGGTGTGAATTATAGATACAAACAATATTAATACTCTCTCACAGGCCCTCTGCGCATTAAAGAAATTACAATGCCATTACGCGGTAATACATAATAAATTATGCGAAATTACTTTGTATTACTTATTCCTAGTTGGATTTGAACAGTTATGTAAAAAATATCGACAGTTAAGCCTAAATCATACCTGCAAACAAATTCATTTTCTCCCAAGCAGAGGTCAAGACACATTTGTCTAGAGCTGACTGTGTGAGTTTTCTTGCCGCGCCCTTTGAGGTGGTAGCCGCGCACACGATCAAAGCACCAAGCCCGCTCGCAAGGTTTAACACCGAGGCATGATTTTTGAGCGTAGATTGTGAATACGGGGAATTGAGATTTCGTTAAGGCTCCTGTAAACATTAAAATTATGAAACTTAAGTCGTTTTACTAGATTAAAATCACATGTTATATATGTATATAATTATCCAGGTATTATACCAGGTAATTGGTCTGCATCTGAGCTGAAGAGAACGCACAATCCCGTTTCGTAGTTCACTGCGCGGCAGGTGTCGTTCGCTTGGCATTGTTCTAGACAATCTGTTAGCATCAAAGTGCCGGGGATGTCATCGAGGATGTGAGATGGTGCGGAGAAGACGTACCTATTAAAAGACTTATGTTTACACCCTTTCTATATGTATGTGTATAAGTATTTAAAGCTCCGCAAAAAAGAATATTTACCCTGTGACAAGTTCAAATCCTATCATTTCGGAATCACATTCTTCTAAAGAATTTGCTGGCGCGGAAGGAGCTGATATTCCGCTGGGTGCGGAAGGTGGAATGCCAGCAGCGGTCTCTGGTACCGGAGATGGCTCATCTACTGCAGCGTCTTCAGGTTCATCTTCAACTTTTTCGGGAGGTGGCGCTCCCGGATTTTTGTATTCTTGAGGAGCATCTACGACGGCTGGTTCGGGTGATTCTGACTCCACAGCTAGATTGTCTTGAGGCGGAGCTTCAGCTGCCGACCTCAGGGTTCCCTCGAATTTCTTCGCAGCCTCCACGGCGCAAACCAGTATCGCTAAACTAATTAAGATCCGCATGGTTCCCTGTCCTTGAAACCGTGGCAACATCTGTAAAAAAAAAGAAAGCGTCGAAATAAATTCGCAAAATCACAAAAGTACGAACGTGGTTCGGCAAGAAGAATAACTTATTCTATTTAATTTTGAGACTAATACGATCCTCATTTAAATTCTGCGGATTTTCTACCGAGCTTTTTGCCGGCGCTATTTTCTCAGTATTGTTATTTCGCATAATTAAGACGCTGATTATGCTCTAACCTGGCCTTAACTGTGAGAATGAACTTAAAACAATTATGATCCCAATCTGAGGGCGTTAACTTTATAATCGTCTTTAAAAGTTATTAGAGCTTAAATATGGCGCAATTTATAAAAACGCCGCTATAACAGTGTACAGCCGAAATTATATGTAATCTTATTACCGCAGGAGATAACTGTACACGTTGAAGAAAAATCGAAGGCGAGCTTTCACACTCGATATTTAATTAGAATGTTGTTACTGACCCAGATTGTTTTAGAAGCGATTGTTTTAATTAACGTTTGTACGGTAATTCTAAGTCCATAATGGCCTATTTGTGTAGTAATAGTGGTTTGGAACAACTTTTTGTGGACTGGCCGCTGTTACGCTATGGTTCGCACAATATAGTAACGGTTCGCATTAAAGTGGTGCTCTGTAGTGGTCAATGGCATCAGAATTTATTGTAAAAACTTACTATAGTGGCTCGGTGTCCATTTTGATTGAAAATTAATGGTAATTATTATCGCCGTGTCGTTAATGATTAATGCAATTGTATTGTCCTCTGGTGCCCTGTAAGTGGGAATTCTTCCATCTCTACAGTGCAACAAAAATAGACTGCAATAGATTCGAATTATAATACAAGTGATGCCACTGCTCGGTAGCGTCAAATAATTCTCAGAACACGATCTGTGCTGAAATTGAATTATAGGGAAGTCGATAACGTCTTCGACGGCACAAAGAAGACGGTTTTTTGTAACATGCTCAGCAAATCGATTCTATTGAACCTATTGTTGGACCCCAATAACAAGCTTCTACTTAAGTATCTAGCGGTACTACATATTGAGTAATAATGATTTATTTAGTGCAAATAAAAAGTAACTGAAATTGCCTGTAAGGGTTAGAGGTATTCTCATGCGCTCGATATAAAATGTCGAATAATAAAAGGATAACAAATAAAGAAGTTCATACTTAAGTTTATGGCAAATGATAAAATGAAATATCCATATTGATGTGACGAGTGGGTGGCATTAGCTTCAACAGAGTGGCCGCTGATGCAAATCGTAGGAAAAACACGATTATTTGCCCTATTTACATATAACCCGTGACGTTATGACGATTACTATGCAAGAAATAGCTAATTTTTGTTAGGCATGGTATGCTTAAACGTTGATTTATATCATTGGTAGGAGAAATGTATTTGAATTCATTCGTATATTCCTATGAAATCCCTTATATTTTTCTTTATAATAATATTTGTTAAGTGTTCAGAACTTAAGTACTGTATATGGTTTACGCGAGTAGTACACATTTATTAATGACTTTTAACGGTTTAAAACGTAAAATGTATATACCTCTCACCTATTAAGCTTGAGGTTTCGGATGTTTTGTAGCGGCTTTCTGTTAAGTCTCTTTGTTACCACGGCTGTCTGACCACTGACTCCGTGACCACTGTTTTATTTAAATATCCATAACTTTTCTACAAATGAGCTAGTATATGCTCTAATTATCATCAAAGATAATTTTACTGATAAATACGACAAATATTCACCTATTGTTATTTGTTGTACAAACCCACGCGAATCCATGTTAACCGTGCCCGCTGCAAGCGAATCGAGTAATTTATACGTATTTGTATTCAATAACAGAAATTATAGTATGGCTTGAGCTATCTAACGTCCATTAGAGAGACCCTTAAAGGGGTTTCACCAGCAGATCTATTGTGTTCCTACGGATATCACTCGCGAATGTGTGCTAGCCCCAAGCCGTGATCAGATGGGGTCAGGTTCGCATTGAATGAGGCGGATGCCTCTAACCCGCTATTTACGTTTCACCGTACTTGTACTCGTTGGCACACTATGGGCATCGATGCTGATTTCTTGCTCGTAGACCTTTAAGAGACCCCATTCTGCGCGTCCTCCTTCGCTTTGATCTAGTTAATTCTAATTGTAAGTATCGATACATCCTTCTATTAAACAATAATTAAAGCAGAATTCTGGGTTTTCGGTGTAGTAACAGACAGATAAGCACGGGGTACTTGAGGGGGTGTAATATCCCAGCCTATAGCATCTAAAGAAGGTGCGATATCGACCTATTTTGGCTTTGGATATCGAAACTAATTGAAGCTGAAAACCTGATTTGAATTTTTTTTTAATAAGCGATCGCATTTTGTTTTTGGCAATTTTTTGTAGCGTGAATATGATGGCTTAGCTTGATTTTTTTAGTTGTTAGCATAAGAACTATATTAACATTATTATTTTTTCAAGTTTTTAATATAGAGCTGTCAAAAATAAACAACTTGTTAGCCGGTGTCTAAAGAAACGTCCACAGAGGCGATGACTGCCTCATTTACATTGAATGAACATCTTATTTGTTGTTTTTAATACGCCTGAGATAGTTACATTATGATGACATGATGGAATTGTGAGTGCCGCCTTATTAATGTACGCGTGAGGACAAGTGTCAGTGTCGCTTGTGATCTGCCGCGTCGCTTAACGGAGCCTTTCAGACGAGATTTAAAACTATATGTTGAGCATGTGAATATTAGGAGAACATAGTTAGTTTTACATTTGACATTGACGTGTGAAATGTGTATTTTAAACACTTAAATACACATTTAGGTAGACATTTTCAATCAGTTAGTTGCTTATAACCCTTTTTATTTTAACTAAACGATTTTAAAAATTTTTATATCCAAGTACATTAACTTCAGTGTTGAATCAGCCGTTCGAATTCATATGTAATCATAAATAAGCAAATGTGTTAATTTAAATTGAAGCCACATAATAGATATAAAATTGAATTAATGTATAATGTATACAAGCTACTACGAATGAACGTTAAAACTACTTACAATGGAGGGAGATTGGAACTGTGGCTTACCACAACACTGCTATTCTATATTTACCCACAGGACAATCGCTCGAGTAAAAATAAATGATTTTACACACTATTTTTATCCAATATCAATCCGCGATACAAATGACGGTCATCGCGCAAATATTTCCCTCGGTTTTTAACGGGGCTTTTGACCTATTGAATATACGCTTCTCATTTCCTTCTTAGGGGGCTTACGTATAATAAATGTTTTATAAATTCCATAAACGGCCGGTAATTTAATGAGCATAAGAAATATATCTAACATGTTTAGCCTCGATAGCGCGGGTCAGTGGGTTGATCGCATCGCGGGTCGATTCACTGCCGGCTCACTACTCTTTAATGGTCATATCGCGATTTCTCCGTTCCTGATCAATGTATCACTATAGCTACCGCCTACGTGGCTAACGCTGCACGATTAATTTAACCTGTTCAATTAAGATAAGCTAAAACAACTAACGTACGTCTTGTAATCGAGAGAGTACGTCACAAGTAACAAAATCGCATCTTTACAACGCTCTTTACAGCGAACGAGCACTTTACAATACTTTGTTAAGACGAAAATGATTAGATTGCAATTATCTTTACTTAACAGCTATAAAATGTTGCAGTAGAAACGGCTCTGTTTCATAATTAAAGTACAAAATTTTACAGTTATTACAAATTATACAATTAATTAATAATTATAAAACCTATTTTCTTTACAGCTGGCGGCATCTCACAATCTATTTTTAACTTGTCTACAATATTTTACATTAAACTTTACTTTTATCACACGATTTGTTCATATTTTCCCTCAAGAAGAAATGTCACAATTACGCCATTACAATGCGGTGCTCCACACGCATTATTCTATGGAAAAAGTCAGAAGGTCGCGGAAAAAATGCCTCCTAACGACAAGTACAACACAAAGCGTACAATCACAAATGACCACCGTAAAAACCTGTCTAGTTTTCTCCGCGATTAATCTCGCTAACTCATTCAAGTAGACGATTCTAAACGCTATAATTTCGTATTGTTCACGGCGGCTGTAATAGAAACTAGGTTTTCTGCGAGTGCATCCGTCTAAGTCGCTTTCTTCGAATTGGAGCAAGTTTAACCTATTCGTTTTCTTTACACTTGTTCGGCCAACGTTTTGCTGCAGTTCAAGTTGGAATATGGACTTTCTTACAATTAACTCGAACCTATTTTTAGCAAATTGTGATCCAGCTTTCGTATCAGTATTACGCTTATATAAATACGATTGTTACATTTATTCTTAGGCAGAAGCGTATAATGTAACAGCTTGATAAAAAACTACTTATAGATTAATATTGAAAATAGAGCCGTAAGATAAATCTCATGCATTTGATTTATTCATTACAAAAGCAAAGCTTAGATAGGAACCGACGGCAAACACTCATTTGATTGACGCACGCGGCACCTAAGGCTTTGTATGAAGCGAAATACGTGATTTAAAGTATAACAGACCCGACGCTGTAGTTGCGTACTTATAACGATTTTCACTTTGGATGAAATAAAGCAATAAATGTTTATAATGGAAGCGCTTACGTGCCCGAGGCGGCACGTTCAGTGAGCCGCACGTAGACATTTTATTTATGTACAGCAATGGGAAATCAAGAATATTTCACTGTATAACAGGATGAACGCAAATGAAAGTCTATTTATTCAGTGTAATGGCAGTCGCTGTCTTATACTTACATTCGCTAGTTGTAATTGCGATAATTTCAGAAGAAGAATAGATTATAAATTTTGCCCGTTTGGTGTACGCTCCATACAAGTGTATTAGTAAATTACGATGCGTATAAATAAGAGAATAGTGCTCATTATTAACGAACGTCGCACACATTGGACAGGAACAACAGCGAGGCGGCCGCGGGCATTTCAATTGCCCGCTCATGAAGCCTCTAAC